CCACCTCTCTCCACTTCCACAGCCTTACTTCTGGAGACTGGTCTTCTTCTCTGGCTCTTGCCTGTCCAAGTTCTTCCTCTGGCCTTTGTTCCCCATGCCTCTTCTTTCCTGCATAGATGCTTCCTCAAACCCTTGCCTCTCCTCCCTGCTCTCATCTTTCTCCTGCTCCTTTTCCCTGTGGCACCAGCCCCCAGGCACGTGCCACTGTGAGTCACCTCCTGACAGGTCTCTTTGCTGAAGATGTAACAGGGGCTGGCATTTAACCTCACAAAGGAATCTAAGTTGAGCAGCAGCTGCCTGTGGCTCATGAGAAGGGACAGTGACTAGGAGGCAACTTTTTGTCACCTCAAATGGTTTGTGGGCAGGGTTTGCCTTGATAGGAGAATGGATTTTTTGAACTATGTAAATAATCTAGAAAAGGAATAGGCCACCCCCGGAAGTCATCTCTAGGGATATTCACACAGAGGGGAAGATATTCTGTGAGGGACAATGATCCAAAAAAGTGGGAAGCTAAAGCATTTGACACCCATCATCCTTTCAACTCCATAATTCTAAGGAATTGGCTAAGACCAAAGAAGAAAACCATGGACCTAAGAGTGATGGCCAAGATATAGCTGATAGGGAAGAATAGGTTGTAAAGGCAGAGAGAACTGGGTCAGAAAGCTTCCAGAAGTTACTCTGGGTTTTTCATTTGATCTCTTCATCCCAAAATGTTTAGGTTCTGATACATCTTCCTAATCCACTATACCTCACCTGATGGAGCTAAAAATGATTATGTAAAACATGCTCAGGGGCAGAAAAATGTAAACTGCTCCAGTTTGGGGCTCATGAAACTGCCCTCTCCAGGCTCAAGGACCTTTCCTTCCACACCGTCTGCACCCCGCACACATCACCTGACTCACCTCTTCCGTCCGGGGGTCTGAGCAAATAGCTGTGAGTGGTGTCGGGACAGTGGGCTGCACCGGACCCTCCCGGAGGCACTTCCTCTGCTCCTCCATTTTCAAGATGGAGCAGACCCTGCTCATCCACAGCTTGTTCTTTACATTCTGTGACTGTGTTAGGTCAGAACACAGTCCCTGCAGAGGAAGCCCCCTGGTGCCCACAGAATCCTGGGGCTTAGTCACGCCATCCCCAGGCCTGTGTTCTGCGGCGGAGGTGTCCTGGCCCAGGGACCTCCCACATCCCTGATAAATGGTCTTGTTTGTATCCTTGCAGATCTCAATCTCGATAATACAATGAACTGAACTTATCTTCTTCGAAGTGCTCCTCCTGGAATGAAATAGCCCCTGTTTTTTTTTTAAGTGTATTTCTGCCAATGCTTCCAAATCTACTTCCCTTTGCTCACACTCATGTTATATGGGGCCGTCTGAATGTTCGGGGCAGGTTGATAACACCTCTGTGTTAGTAGCTTATTTCAGGACATTTCACCACTAAGCAAAACTGTGGGGAGACTGGGAGCTCCTGTTTCCATACACTTTGTCAGGGAAAGTATTATAATCTTGTAGCCTGTCTTTTCTAAAATCCTTTTTGAATGTATCTTCAGCATGTTTCCAAAGGCACCCGGATCATCTTGCCTGCACCTGCCTTTCTTTCTGTCCTCACTCCCATGCATCCCTCCACTTCCTCCCTTTCCTGTCCCTCCGGCCATATTCCTCCCCACCCCCATGCCCCTCTGTTGCCTCCACAGTTGGCAGTTTTGCTTCTTGGAAGCTATGAAGAGGATTGACACGTTTGCTGCCTTCTTCCCCTTTCTCCATAGCATGGAATCAGAATTTTACCTCGTCACCAGAACTGGAAAAGGCAGGGAAAGCATTAAAGTCACTGTGCTCCTTGGTTGCCAGGTGTTTAGCAACCTATACTTGTTCTGCTTTACAAATCTTACCCAGTAGTCGAAGTAGTTAAGAAAATAGCATCTTGTCACCTTCAGTGGGCTTGAGATAAAGAGGAGCATCAACATCTGCTTCCTGTTTTGTAGCAAAGGAACTGTGTTGGCAGTATGCATGTTTTGAAGTAAGATGGAAAAGTTAGCTTTGAGGGTCCAGATGCTCATCCTTGATGGACCCTACAGAGCCCTGTCTTCCGAAGTTCTCTTTGAATCACTGCTCCACTGAGACCTACGCATGAGAGGCACTCGGTGGCCTTTGTTGACCTCCTGGCCACTTCACAGGCCCAGACAGTTATGAACCCGTGAGTGAGAGGGAGCCAAGAGCAGCACTTGGGGTTGCTGTTTAACTTCACCTCTTAGAGTGCGGGCCTCAGACCCGCAGCACAGAAATTCTTGTTAGGGATACAGAATCCTGGCCTCGTGCTCAGCCTACTGAATCAGAGGTATATATTTGAGTCCCAGAAAAATTTATGTGCAAATTAAAATCTGAGAAGCACACACTTTATAGTACACACTTGACAAATTCATTTTGTCATTTAATGAGGTAGTATTATCTATTGTAATGATCCCCATTTTACATGAAGTGCTCTTTTCCTTCCTTCCTTTTTTGCTGTCATATACCCATCCCATAAAAACAGCACTACAGATAGTGAAGATAAATCCCCACACTCCAGATGGTGGTAGTTTGTCCTATAATTCCCCCACAAAGGACCCAAACCTTCCTACTCACACACATGCAGAGCGTCACTCGCGGTCCTAGCGTACTGGTTTCTATCTTCCTTGAAGCAGTCCCTTCCCTTTGTGCAGCCAACACTCCTGTGATGACCAGCACTCATTGACCTTTACCAGGGGCTTTCAGACATCTGTCTGGTCCACACCACACAGCACAATATGGGCTACCACATTCTCTCCGAGGAAAGGGGTCAGTGACCCTGCCTGAAGCACCCACCAGTACCAATGAACATTGTCCATTTGTTTAGTTAAATGCAGTGGGGTTTAATTACCTGTGGAGAATACACTGTAGCACATTTTGAAAGAATAATGGAGTCATCGAAGTAGAAAGCCAGACTTTCTATCTTGCACATTGCAGAAAAGGTTCAGTAGAACAAATCTGGAAAGTCATTTTGGTGTATTTGATTTTGCTGTTGTTTACCCCTCATAAATGTGTATAGACTGGTCAGCCTGCATCATTTCAACAAATGAGGCAATATTCATCTTTGTTAGAATTCCTGAAATAAGTGATGCCAAAATCTTCAGGAAGGACAACATGAACTAACCTGAATAATCACATATCTGTTTGGCAGAGGGCTGCGAACAGCACCATTACTCTGAGATCCCAGCAAATAGGGCCCTATCCCCAAAGCCCAGGAGGTGCTATGGTCTAGAGTGTCTTCCTTGAAATTTTCTAAGTTTCTCTCTGGTGCCTGAGACCAACCTAGGCCAGCAGTAACATTCAGCGGACACAGTCACATTTTGGACTGGGAGTTTGGACCTGCCCCAGACCCCATTTCTCCCTTCAGATCACATTTCCAACCTCTACCCTCAGCCACTCCTCACATGCGTCCAACCCAGTTCTTTAGGGTTACAAAACTCACACCTGTGGGCTGGTCCTGGGGTCCTGTCAACAGGGCCAAGTTCCAGGAGGGTAGACTGGTAAAAGTATGGTTTCTGCTGGACAACACAAGATTTCTTAAATGGCACTGCATGTGATTGGGCTACCAGGATGGTACAAATTTCAGGGAGTCAAACGTTTATATTGAGAAGGGCTGCACACCATCTATGAATTGCCTTGGTAACCAGCACCCAGACACTGATGGCAGAGCCTGGGCGGGCATGACCTGGGGTAAGGGAAGAAGGCAAGGATGCCAGCAAGAGGTGACAAACGAATTTAGGAAAATGGTCAGAGTGGGTGGAAACTGCCCAAGACTTGGAGCAAACAAGATGCCCAAACACCTGTTCCTCTCCTTCCCTCTATCAGCACACACACTGGGCACACCATATCCTCCTGTTGCCACCCATGATGGACCCCAACTTAGTTGACTGAGCACCCATTGGATAAGAATATGCTTCTACAGATGGGTGAGGAAGGTGGTGATGAGTTTGTGCAGTCTTGAAAACTAATTTTGCTCTGACTCCTGGAGCAAGGAAAGGAATCAGGCTGCAGGCCTCTAAGAAATGCAAATGGATGTACTTCCTCCTTGGCTTTTGTGTTAGTTGTGTTTTCACTGGAGCCTGGTCCCTTGACAGAACTTAGAATATTTGTATTTCAAGACAGAGGCCATGGGGCAAGGAATAAGGAAGAGGGGCCAGGTTGTAAAAATATCATGTAATAGAGACTGCAAGCAATGTAAATTTTGCAGTTTCAGAATATTTTGAATCATGAATTGCAAGCTTCATAAATGCCAAAGAATAAAGCCTCCAGAATGCCCCACAAAGTCAGCTATTAAATTCGTGAGTCTGTTCTGGTAACCATGCATCTATCATTTGGGGCTATTGTATTTATTTTATGTCGGCAGAAGTTTATTGAGCACCTACTACATAGCAGTCACAAAGTCCTTTCTTATTCATGCATTCTTCACTTTATCTTCTCCTGCACAGTTTGGAACCAAGCCAACTGTTCATTTGTATTAAAGTATAAAGTGGTCACTTATTTGTTTTACATGTAGTAGTCATTTATAATGTGCATTTAAAAGCATTTCTACATAGTGAAAATTAAGATGGCCATACTAACATACCATAAAGTTATTCTTATAGTTTTTATTATATTACTGATTAAGACAATTCTATTTAAAATATCAAAGTTTAGTAATGTGCTGTGGTATTTCACATGTACCCTCTTAGTTTATACTGATAATAATCATATAAGAAAAATGATATCTTCTTATCAAATGTTCTAAAGTTAGAGTTGGACAAAAACACATTGATTCAAGACTCAAGCAAAAAAATTCTGTTTTCAAATGCTACCTATAAAACATGGTGTTTTATAATCTTGATGTCCAAATCCCATTTCTACAGTTTTTTATATCCCTTCTCCCACAACTTCTGGCGGTGAGCATAGCTCTGTCCCTGGTTTCCCAGGTTCATGACTGTGTTCTGTCTCTTTCTTTTCTCCCAGAAGGCCAGGGCTTTGTGAGTGAGGATGAATACCTGGAAATCTCCAACATCAAACGTGACCAGTCTGGGGAGTATGAATGCAGCGCCTTGAATGATGTTGCTGCACCTGATGTGCGCAAAGTCAAAATCACTGTAAACTGTGAGTTGGCCCACCATCAGGGCATTCCAGGGGGGAGATGGAATAGGGATTAAGGGAGCAAGCTGGTAATGACAATACCATTTTCTGATGGACCCAAGTTGTTCCCCACTGGAAGACACTTGATCAGATTGTTGTGCCCCATCTCTGTCTCCACTGCCATTTGCCCAGTGTCTTCCTGTGACTGTCACAGCTTCTAGCTAATGGGGAGAATTGCTAGCTTTGGATTGGTTTGAAGTCCTAGAGAAGACACTGGGGTAAATGCAATATCTTCAAGCAAGACTTTTTTCTAAAATAGATGGTTATGTTGCTGGCAAGGTAGGGTGTCATAAGAACTCCATTTGCACCACAGGTGGCTGAATGTGCCTTTCATCTTTTTCAAGGAATCATTTTGTCTATTCATCCCACAGACCCTCCCTACATCTCAAAAGCTAAGAACACTGGTGTCTCAGTTGGTCAGAAGGGCATCTTGAGCTGTGAAGCTTCTGCTGTGCCTACAGCTGAATTCCAGTGGTTCAAAGAAGATACCAGGTACCTCGAAAATAGAAATGGGGGATGCCTGAAGCAGAGCTGATGGATCATTTCTCACAAGGAGGGAGAATGATAAAGTAAAGGAGAAAGCTGTGGCAAAATCAAATTGCATCACAGCCTTCTTTATAACAGTAGGCTTTTAGAACCAGAAACGAGAACCAAAAACAAATGGAGGAAACCAGGAAATGAGAAAAGTGAACTTACCTTGTTTCAGAATTGGAGATTAGTCGTACTCATGGCAGAAGCTAGTGAATGTAGCTTTTGGAACATGAGCATCCTTCTCTTTTGCCTCCTGACGGAAGATGTAGTGTTTATGGTTTGAATTACATGAACGGGGTTGGTCAGAGGGAGGGGTTTCTGTGAAGATTAAGCTATGGTATATTGGAGTTCTCACAGCACCTCCTGTCCAGTGTTTCACTGTGTTTGCAAACCAGACCAGCACTGCCTTCTCTGTTGCAGGCTAGCGACTGGCCTGGACGGCGTGAGGATTGAGAATAAAGGGCGCATATCCACTCTGACTTTCTTCAATGTTTCAGAAAAGGATTATGGGAACTACACTTGTGTGGCCACAAACAAGCTTGGGAACACCAATGCCAGCATCACACTGTATGGTGAGTGCAGGAAGCCTGGATGCAGTGGGCTCAGCCATGTGAGGGGCTCGAGGGACTCAAGAGGGAGGAAGTCATGATCTGCTTGGCCTGTGTTCATTCATGCTGCTCAACCCACCACCCTTAGACACAAAATGCTTCTCCCATTCATTCTCCTAGCATGTGATACCATGGTGTTTACAAGGTAATTCATCTCTCCTGGTCTACTGAAAGGCAAGATTTGCTCCTTGCAAAAGGAGTAAACCAAAATCTGAACCAAGTTGAAGGCTGTTTGCCCTAAAAAAAAAATAGAACCATGGACAGTTCAATTGTAGTACTATGCAAAGGTATGGTAGGTAAAGTAGACACAATTTTCAGATAATTTCTACAGCAAGAGTCTATGATTCTGGAAGGTTATGTTTATAGTTTTAAACCAAGTCAACTGCTGCCATCATGATTCTCATGTTGATGCCATGTCACGCGCTCATTCATTGGAATGACTGGAGCAGTCCTCTGAGTCCCCATCGAGAGGGCTGTTCTGTCCCCAGCTGGAGCATCAAAGCCTTCTCTGGAGGTCTTTCTCTCCTGTGTGGGTGGAGACAATGGAGCCATGGCGGCCTCCCTTGGAAGCCCTTATCCTTCTCTCACTAAAACTTCCCACCCTGCTGTGTCCATCTCCTTGTGCGAGATTGTACACCATGGACCAGGGCCGGCTTGTTGTGAGATTTCTTGTGTGTATGTATTTGTTTACTTCCTGAGATTCGGTTAGAGGGAAGCATCTGGTGAGTAGAATGAAAAGGTATTCATTTTCCCATGTGTGCATCAGACCCTGAACAAGCTTTTGGCATTGACATGAACTAAACTATGTCCACCAACCATCTGAAATGTGTGATCTATGTCTTTTGTTTTCTCTCTGCATTGTGTGTGCATTGTGCTGTGTGTGTCTTAGAAATAAGCCCCTCATCAGCAGTGGCAGGTGGGTACAGCATGTTCCTTCCTTCCTCTGCCTGCCTGAATGCCTATGCTTTTGACTTTGAGCCTCCTTCAAAGATAGGCCTGCCTGCTCCACCTCCCTGATTGATTTCTCCTTCGTAGATAGATGTCAGGGATTTGGTTTGTACCATTTAAGTAGCGAGCCTGTAGAATATGATGGCTTTTACATGCACACATATGAAATACCATTATATGCTTCAGAGGAATGATTTTTCCCCAAACAATGCACTTCTACTTGGTGGCCTTTAAAGGGGATGAACACTTTGCTATTTCTGCACATAGCAGCACCAAGAGGAGCCCAGCCCAGAGTCCAACATTGTCTCCACGGGGAAGTCACCTAAAAATGAATGTTTTACACTTTCAGCCCGAGGAAAAGAGGGCTGAAAAGTTAATTCTAGAGCCTTCATTTTAATGTATAAGCACTTGGAGTCATTAATAGTAATAATAATATGTACTGATTTCTAGACAGCATGTTAGTACTGTGGAAGACAGGCTATTAACCCTGTTTTATAGATGAGTCAAAAGGGGGACCAAAGAGGTTAAATAGCACTGATGTACACATGGCTAATGAGTAGACTCTGGCTGAGCCTCAGAACTGGGCCCTTCATCAGATACCGCAGTGCTTACCCAGAGGATAACTAGGCTGAGACATATGCACATACTTACACATTGAGATGAAGCAGCAGGCAGTGCTCAGCTCTGCTTCCAGAGGTAGAAGTCTTGCAGCCCTACTTTTCTATGATCACTCTCAGTCATGTAAAAAGTGGTAACTCTTTAATTTCCTGGACCTGGAAGCAGCTATGCACGTGTCACTTCTAGCACAGTCACAGTCCATAGTTCTGCCCACACCTGTCTATGACTGTCCATCCCTGGGTCTTATAAAACCAAAAGGAAAGCATGGGTTTGGGGTGCTGCTCAGCCACTGACCCTGCTATCACCCCATCAATTGGTGGGGTCATCAGTGGCAGGAAATATGGCAACTGAAGAAACCTAGGACTGATGACTAGATGATCCAGGTTTAGTCCTTCTTTACCATTAACTAAGGAAACAGGTGTGTCAGAACAGATGACAATAGCAGGTATGTATGTTAAGACTATATTAGTCTGCTAAGACTGCCACAAAAAATATCATAGGCCAGTGCCTTAAACAACAGAAATTTATTTTCTCAGAGTTTGGAGACCAGTAGTCCAAGGTCAAGTCGGGAAGATCTATTACCTCTCTTTGATGAGGACTCTCTTCCTGGCCTGTAGATGGCCGCTTTGTTCTCTTGCACCTTTCCTGAGCATCTGTGGGGAGAGATAGATAGAAAGTTACAGATGGAGCTGGAAATAGAGAAAGAGGAAGAGAGGGAGAAAGGGGGAGAAGGGTGGTGGGAGAATGGGAGAGAAAAGGAAAAGGAGAAAGGGGAAGAGGGAGAGAGAGAGAGATTACTTTCTGGTGTCATATTAGGACACTGATCCTATTGAGTCAGAGCCCTACCCTTATCACATCATTCAACTTTAATAATTTTATTTTAGTCTTCATCTCCAAACACACATTGGGGAGTTAGGTCTTCAACATATAAATTAGGGGGACACAATTCAGTCCACAGGAAAGACATAGCTTTATTTCCCAATCTGGCTGGCCACATGCCAGCTAGTTAACTTTGCTGAGCCCTACTTTCCCCATGTATGCTATTGGGATATTAATACCTGCCTTAAAAGGCTAGTGAGAGTACTAAGTAAGGTTATACAGAAATACATTCGTATCTATTTCCATAAGTACTCTGCTTAGATGTGTGGCTTTGACAACTCTCAAAGACTACAGACCTTAGTTTACTCAGCTGGAGCTGGGATACTGCTTCCTGGCCTGCTGACTGTCATTGTGAATTATCAGTCATATAATGTTCATCCCAGAGGTATGACAAACAGAAGACATAAATACAAGGTACTATAATTAATACAGGTAATGCTTTCCGTGAGACAGCCCATCTTATCACTGCTTCTCTTGTGGCTGCCAGAATTATCACTCCGCTGGACTTGTCCTTGCCTTTCCTCCAGAGTCTCCCATCCGCTTTCACCACAGCACCATCAGTCCACATAACTCACCCTGCTTCACTTCAACCATTTGGTGTCCATGCACCATTCAGCGTCCCTTCCTAAGAAAGCCTTCCCTGACCTGTAAGAGTAGGTCAGTCCCCCCACTATACACCCTCTCATATAACACTTCTAAATGCTGCACTCCACACCTTGCAAACTCTAGCATTCATTCAACAAACATTCATCAGGACCAGTGGTGAGCGGGGCTGCTCTGAGGGAGGAGGGTGCAACGGTGACACAACAGATAGATGCCTTGTCTCTGTAGACTTCACCTTCTAGTTGCAATGCTGTTTCTGTTTCATTTATTTAGTTTGTTTTTTAACCAAATAGCTTTTTCTCCTTCAGCTTATGTGCATCACAAACATAGGGACTTTGTCAGGTTTGATCCTTAAAACATAACGCAGTAGCCAGTCAGGAAATGTTTGGTGAATGAATGAATGAATATATATGGAGATCAGGGGTTGTGTTGGTGATACCAGGGACAGAATTTCAGCTGTCAGGAATAAAATGTGACGGAATAGAATAGGGCCTATGGGTCTCAGAGCCTCTTTGAAGCTGGATTCTGCTGCTCACTCTGAGTGGCTTTGGAAAAGTCAATCTCAGTGTGCACTGGGTTTTTCATCTATCATTCAAGTGAAAGCATTTGAATAAGATGTTTTCCATGGTCTACAAAGACTAATCCCTGATACTACGCTTGAGTGGCAACAGTTTCAACACTAGATTAAATGGATATTATCCACTTGGCAAACCCTTTCCAATATCTGTGAATGTTCTCTCTAGTCTCACTAACCCTTACTGCCTGCGGGGCCAGTAGACTAAGTGTTCTGTATGTTTTCTGATGCAATGACTCTAGGGAGGAAGTACAATGTTTATCCCAATTTTACAGAGGAGGAATTTGAGAGGTTAGGCAGATTATTCAGCTCACACTGGCTTATAAACACTTGAGATGGAATTTAGCCTATGCATTCTGGTTCCAGTGTCTTAGCTGTTTCCACTATTCCATTATAACTCACAATACTGAGCAATCTATTATAGATCTTGGTGGATGGCATTCTAGATGGAACCCCATATTAACAATAAGCCTTCTCGGACCCTTTTTCCATACCAACATCTCTCCTCCTCTTCCTAAACATAAACCTATTGTTTCAAAGGACAATTTTTACATTTGCAACCCATAAACACATACCTCCTAAACACATAACACACACACACCACATTCTCAAGCATGCATTGGTGGTTGCCCTCAAAGACTGCAAGTTTCTTATTTGGAGGCCCTTTTGAGTCTGCACTGTGCATCCATAACAACCCACACTCATAACAGACCCCTTACACAAACACATCTTTCGTATACATTCCTACCTACATGCAAAGAACAAAGAAAAACAAAATAAAAGCAATTTCAAACACACAGGTAAACTGCAAGAGACAACCTAGGTAGGTGGAAGATACTCAAAGATGAAACAGTGTTTGGCACTGACATGAAAGGTTTGTTTCTTGAACACCAGCAACCATGCCTTCAAAAGCCAAAAGACTAGACAGTTCATACAGGCAATGTGCCAACTCAAAGTGGCATTTTAGGCTCTGTAGATTTTTAGCCCTTGGTAACTGCAAAATCTGGAAAGGCAGCAGAATATAGACAAGAGACCAGTACTAGGGGCAAGAGAAACTGGGTTCTAGTCCCCACTCTGCTATGAGCAACCTCTGACTCCCCCTTTCCATGGTTACCCATGAATGCAGATGGAAGGGGACTTGACTTGTGGTGATGAACACACAATGTAGTATATAGATGATGCGGAATGGTACACCTGAACCCTGTGTAATTTATTGGCCATTGTCACACCAATATATTCAATTAAAAATCAAGAACAAAAAATATATATGAGAACAGAACAAGATGGACTCTCAGCTTACTTTCAGCTTTCTAAAGCTCTGTTCTGAATTGAAAAAACACTG